TGTTAAAAAAAAGTGAAAACGTTTTACTTGTGTCAAATTATAAATGAAGGATCTGAAAGATATTTTTACTGTGTTGCTTATGCCAAAACAGTCTTTTTACAGAATGATAAATGTATCCCGAAAGTAATTACAAATAAAATGATGTAATTAATTATTTCTTGTATTAATGCAAAAATAACAATTAAGATATATATATTCTAAACTAATGCATTCATTCTTAAAAGTAATATTAATAGTAAAAATTTAAAGAGAATAAACTGAATTTTTTTTTAAAATCTGCCTACTGTACAGGCAAATTTGTGTATACTGTACTACTAGTTGATCAGCTTATTAAACATTTACCATATTATGAAACTAAATTTAGTATATGTAATTAACTGGAAACGATGTTATCTATTATTCGCTTAAATTTATTAGCTTATCTAAAATACGATTTAGATTAAGTAATCATTTTTATAATTATTATTTTAAATGGGCCTATCATATTACAACAACATCATTGTTACGAAGTTTTCATGCATAACCTTTACAAAACAATAGCAGTTAGTTATTTTCGTTTTATTTCTTATTGTAAAACAGACATTAAAGTGTTGTTCCTAAATATTTTAAGCGGGATTTGAAGAGTATTTTAATTTATATTTATTACTAAGCTGCCAGTTTGAATAAAAATTTATTGAAATTGAAAATAACTTCATTTTCTCATGATATAGTGCACTACTAAAATTCCTAAACATTGTTCGCGATATACAATGGCGTACAGTACGTTAACAATCGCAACAAAAACCAATACGATCGATTGCGATTAGTCATAGTCGTCATGTGTGCCAAGTTGAACTCGTAAACACGGTTCAAAGTACGAACTACTGTTCCGTATAGAATTAACTTCAATCTGTAACCAGGTGGCAAGAACATTTTTTGATTTATATCATTAATAAATGAATTTAGAAGCAAATCACAATTTTTTTTTTCGAATTTAAGCTAATGTGATATATTAATGTCATCATTTCATTTCTCGAATTTGTTTACAATTCATGTAGTGACACGGTACAAAAGAATGCATACATATCTTCATAAATGTATTTTTCACTTCGTTCCTATCAGAATTCGCCTGGGGATAAAGTTCTGTCTTCTATTCTCTAAGGGAATGAACTTGTTCTTATGGTCGAGTCGATTATAAGAATAGGTATTCGTAATAGTAAATTTCGTAAATTTTTCTGTAGATCGAAACAAAAAAAGAAGAAAAATTGAAACAATTTGTGAAATAATAATAACGGGGAGCAGTGACACGCGTAAAATTACTTAACGCTTTTCATTTGTCATCCTCTTCCGCCATGCCAGCTCACACCGTCCCACCCATGCTTTCGAGTGGTACGGTCTATCCTCGTGGCACAGCTCACTTCTTAGTCAGAGGAAGGGACAAGGGTTGAACGAGTTTTATTCATCGTAGGGAAACGTTCGGTTTGAAAGAGGATATCGTTTCAAGGTGAAAATATGACTAAGGTGAGTAACCGATTCGTAAAATTTACGTGGTAATACCAGTATAGACGTTAAAGAAACCTGTTGCTCGTAACGCACGCGATTTTATAGGAAACGTAACGTCATGGCGGTGACTGTTCCTTTATCGTAGTCGGGCAAAAACTTAAAATATGAAAACGGTTTTTCGGCTTTAGATCGCTAACTACAGACTGTCTTTATAGTTCGGAGAATACCAGTTCACTTGTGTTTTGTCGTTCTAACAGTTTATAGTCGATTGTTTTATAGATAGCGATCTTTAGACAAAGAGACTTTAGTCTATAATCTCCCTATCGCAATCGCTAACACATTTCTCAAAGATTAAATTTCAAATTCTCCGTAATATGAAATATAATATTAACGAAATAAACACGGTCAAAATATTGATTTCTAAAAAGAATTTAAAAATTGAACCGATTAAGCGATTTTGATATACACGTGGTTTAACACAAAGTATTGGTTGCTATCTTTTCATTGTCTGGGCATGCCAAAATGCTGATTGATGGTGTATTATTCATTTAATGTTGAGGTTTTATACTTTATCATTTAACTATATAAATAAAAATCGTAGTAATAAATTTTCAGAAATGTACGCGAATTTTGGAATTTCGCTGAAGATTATGTCGAAGTTTATCTACTTTCTGATAATTTTTATCTATCATATTTCATACAAATAACGATCAGAATTAAATGTATTGACCAATAAATTCTGATTCTTATTCGATCTTTGATTTAAGAAATATTTTCTTTGTCGTTTAGTAATAAATATTTATAACAATTTTTACTTTCTAAATCACATTTTTATTTGTAAAATGCTTTTCATAATCTGCTAGTAAATTTTTATATGCAATTATATAATTTGCAAATTCAATATATGTTTATTTTTCAATTTGTAATGAATATATTTTTGGTCTAGTATATAAGTTCATCTTTTGTTTTAATGTAGAGTAAAAATTTTATTATGTAATGTCCACAGCCATTTATTGTAATAACAAATATCAGAATAAATTATTATATTGAACTTTGTTGTAATAATGAAATTGTTTTCATTTGATATAATGATGATTGTTTTTTCAGATTATAACTAAATGACTGACTTTATGTATTATGAAATCAAACATGTTGACTATTATATTGAATAATAATTCAGTTTCAGTGAAAAAAAGACAGATTGAATAGGCAACCTATAATTTCGTAATTAAAGTACTTATAATGCATATAAATTTGATTTGGTTCATTTTTATTGAAAAATGACTAGAGAATTTGTCAGAAATGCTTACATTGACATCATTATAATAATAATATTTTTAGTTATTACTGCAAAAAAATTAACAAATAGTCTGATCTACTTAGTTGATCTATAGTTCACTATTTTTTTTTTTTTTAATTTATCCCAAAAATTTTTTTGCATTAAATTGTTTTTATGTAAGGATACATAATTTGATCTTTGCTTGTCTCAAAATAGTTTAAGGTCAATTTTTTCATAATAAAATGTGATCATTTTGGTCTGTCTAATAATATCAATGATAGCATTTATTTTGCTTATTAAGTGAAAATGATTGCTATATGAATTTGTACTTATGTGAATATATATCAAAATCAATTCCACTAATCAGTGAAGTTATTTATATATAAGAAGTGATCAAATTTTTTATGCTTAATAGTTTTAGTAATGTTTATAATCCAAAAATAGAAATTAATATAACTGTCAATTGTCATGGAATAACTTTTGAGCCATGGAAATTTGGCTAATTAAGTAATCTGATTTATTACTTAGAATATTAAAGAAAAAGCTGTATTATTGTATTTAATATCTCATTCTGAAGAGAATTATGAGAAGGCTTTAAAAATTCTGTGATTTCAGTCTCACTTGCTGTTTAACAAGAATATTGTATATAATGTGTATTCATTTGGATTGTCTACATTGAAGTTGGAGATTTTTTTCTTACCATATTTCTCTCCATCTATTCAGGCTTTGGAACATTGTTTTATAGGTGCAATGTTAATATGTCAAGTATAAACTTCATTCCCTATTATCATATTAAAGTATAAGCTTAATTTAAGTTTATAGTGGTCCATAATATAATGGAGGTATTTAATTAAAGATCCAGGATTACTATTCAATTATAATTATATGATCTTTGTTGATCTTATGAAATAATTAATCTGGCATATTTTTGGAATTAAAAAGAGAAATTCAAAGTGGAATATTGTAAATATTAATCACGTCAGTAACCTTTGCTTAATTCCAGCATTACAGGTAACCCCCATATAACATGGCACTTCTATAGCAAGGATTCACTCTAACACGGATCGAGAATTCGGTAAAACCCTCGTACAACATGAAATATAATAAAAACTATTAAAAGTGAACTTTATCTAATTTGAAATTAGGGAAATCCCTGTACAACAGTTCAATAAACACGATAATGCATTTAAGTGCGAAAGATACCTTATTTAACATTTTTCATTTGAGCACATATGTACGGTATTACCTCGACTTACGCGAACCCGGAGTTACGCGATTTTCAAATCTCGTTGATTCGTCTTTTGTTTGAGCGCCACAAAACTCTTGATTACTCACTCCCGCCTCGCTATTGTTCAGCTTACATGTTCGTACATGTCGTGCGGAATTGACACACAGCTACAATTTATTTTGTGTTATTTATTTCTGTGTTTGTTATATCTACGGAGACTTGAGAGACTCTATGTGGTGATTTTTTGTAACCGTGAACAAATCAAAAGACGAGATAAGATTAACGAGAACATTTATTAGCTTACATACATCCGACTTGGGTTTTACACAAATTGCGAAATTATACCCGACTTACGCAGATTCGACTTACGCGGTTATTGCTCGGTCCCACCTATCGCGTAAGTTCGGGGTATTACTGTACTATCAGATTTTTCTGCATAATTTTTATGAACTATTAGTTGTACTTAAGTATGTAAATTTTCTTTTCCCGCCTTCTGTCGATACATGTGGTCCTTCTTGAAACTTGTTTCAATGTTGCCAGATCGCGACGCTTCTGCTTTTGATGTTGCCAGATGTTTTTCCCTTGGTTAATAGTGCTTAGTGATGACGAAGAAAACATCGTTTAATTTATATTAATATGTATCACTTAAGAAAATTTTAATAAAGATATTTATCTTAATTATGAAAATATAATAGCATGTTTTTTTAATTTTTGGAACCTAATCTCCCCTTTTCGTACAAGTTCTTTGTTTCATATAACGCGGATTCGCATAACACGGCAATTTTTTGGAACATAACTCCCGTGTTATACGGGGGTTACCTGTATATAATTCACACGTACCATTAACCACGAAATGGCACTTGTACAGTACACCATAAGTTTGCATTTACAAACTAGAAGAATGAGGTGGTTACACGGACATTTTAATTTTCGGTACATCTAGTTCAAATTATAAAGCGATATATAAAAAATACATAAAACTACAGGTATTTAATAAATATTAAGTCTTACTGTTGGTTATATTCATTTTTCTTATCAAAGGCGACGAATATACGTTGTTAAGTCTTTTCGGATGTATTTGTTGGCTCATTTACAAGTTTAAGAACCTTCTCAGAATTTATACAAATTTCCTTGGTATAACTTGTTCCGCCTTTTGGTTAAACTTTTGCTTAGCAATACCAGATAGTGTTTCTGACTATACACGACAGTCAGAATTTACATAATCAAATAGGGTAGCTCTTAAATAGTCAAACGAGCTGAAAAATTCTCTGGTGGAGTCCAATAAACTTCCAAGAATATACTACTTCTTTAAAAAATTTTTTTTCTTTATAATATATTTAATTAGTTTTTATTTATGTTTATGCTTAAATTTTTATTTATGCAATTTTNACCCCAAAGGAATCTTTAAAGTGTACATTAGGAATACTTGCTAACAAAAATCTGTTATATTTCTTTCCCTAAAAAAGCTATATTAGAAAAAACATAACTTTTCAAATATATTTTATCCTTAACTCACCTGTTTGTGCAACAAGCAAATTATTTTCAAGGTCGAGTACAAAGAAAACAATACGATGATAATCGCCTCAACGCAAAGTTCTAAATTTGTTCTCGAAAATATAACGAAGAATGATTGATATAATAAAAATATTGCAAGGCAAAAATAAATTGATATTCCAAAAGTAAGAATCGGCGAAACAATTTGTTGTAATTTATCAATTGACTTCAATACTATGTGATAAACTTCTAGAATCTCGGAAATAGAAAATTTAATTGATTCTTTTGTGTTTCTGTCTAATTGTTCCATAACTTCATCTAATATTAAGCAAAATATTTTAACAATAAAAATAACAAAAGCAAATGACAAATAATTAATGCTCTTCCCAAAAATAATGACTAATGTATCGAATATTGACCGAAATACATCGTGTAGCAAATCGTAATCAACTTCCAATGGCGAATCGAATACTTCAAGTATGGCAACTGCGACATCATTTAGTATTGAAAAAACTCCCATTATAAAATATAGAGGCATCCAAAAATTGACAGTACGAATTAATTTATGTCTAATTTTTCTTCTGCATGCAACAAAGTATTTTAATTGTTTACATTTTCTCATAAGTAGAGTTATTGTATATGCTATATCTTTGTTTATAAAGTAACATAGATTTAAAATAAGGTACAAGTACCAGAACAGATTAAATGAAATCTTAAGAATAAAATACTCATTAAAATTTTTTACATTATCTGTTGTGTAGTATTTCTTCTGCGTTTCGATAATATATGCGAGTATTCTCAAATCTTTGTAAAAAGCTAAAATAAAAAGAACAATAACCAACACACTGTAAATCTTAAGAATAACTTTCTGACAAAACGAAACTTTTGAACAATAATTTGAATATAATCCAAATATATTCATGCAACCCAAGATTAATTTTAAGATACCATGAAACAGATCAATCATTATGAGATATTACTTATCAGATTTTTTAATTTAGAATTTTATGAATATTGAATTTAGATAATTTTTTCAGTAATTTATCTTAGTATGCTCAGTTGAATGTCTCGCTAACTTATAAACAATCTGTGACAGGTTAAATGGTAATACGTTTATGGATACGTTCAAGACCAATTTATATTATCTGAGTATTCACAATTTCATTATTCCTGAAATCTCCGGAATTTTACGTTTCTTTAAAATAATGAGCGATTAAAATATTTGAAATGATTATGTCAGAAGAGTAATGCAATGCAAATGCACTTTATTGCGAAAACATAATGGAAAGGCATTATCATAATTTTTATTATTATTAATAATGCATGTACTGTACATGCTTCCCCTAAAAGCCTCATTAGCTTAGCTAGATGCCTCTTTATTATTAGAATGACTTGTCAAATAAATTATAAATAGCTCTTGTATATTAAGGATACAACGGTAGACCATAAATGAGACAAATATTTGTTAGATCGATTTCCTATAAATATTCAGAAGGTTTAGGCTTGCAATTATAATGGATATGGCAAGATGGTCGATGCAATTAATGTGTCACCTACCACTCTGAAGACCCTTAATACATAAGGGATTCCATTATAAAGTTTAATAATTATAATAAACGAAAAAAATTAATTTATTATAATTATCAAAATTGGCACGAGATGGCGGCACATCCGCCTACTTCTAGTCAAATTACTTACTAACTTATCATTAACATAGCCGAAAAATAACCCGCTAATTCGGCAGATTGAAATTAATTAATTAAATCAGGTTATGAGTTGTTTTTATTATGTATAAATATATACAGTAGTGTGCATCGATTATCCGACTCAATTGGGAACTGGGATTGGTAGGATAACTGAAAAAACGAATAACCGAAAAGTATGAAAAAATACATTATTAGTATAGTATATTTGTATTATGTAATTAGTATATTAGTATATCGCTATAAACCTACTTCGCGTTGAATTTTCATCGATGTTAAGCCTAACAAATTTTTTTTAAATAATAATCCTCGCCATTGTATCGTTAAAAATTATTTTTAAATTATTTTATTGCTCACAAAACAAACAACCCCTCATAGTTAGAAAATTAAGACTCGTTTAAATACTGGCCTCCCTTTCATGATCGAGCCAGTGTTGTCAGCTAAAACACACAAAAATTTAACAAAAATAATATTAAAGTAGCCAGGACATAGCACTACATCACTAGCGGACATTTGAATTTGCTGACTAGAACGCGGTCAACAGTCGCAGTCAACCCGATCAACCGTCACATCGGTTAACCGATGTGACGGTTGATCGGGGGTTCGGATAATCGATGCTCTATTGCAGGGGTGGCCAACACGAGGCCCGCGGGCCGCATGCAGCCCGCCGGGAGTCAAGTTGTGGCCCGCGGAGCTAGGTCAAATGAACGTAAATGTTAACTTTATTGTACAGTACATATCACCAAAAGAACATTACTTCATGAGTTATTCGTATCGTGTATTTTTAAATTATAGCTAAGACAAATTTGAAATATTTCTCATTTTTGGAAAACTTCATAGATTTTTAGCTATTTCAAATATACCGCTATTCGACACTCAAGATTACTTAGTTTTTTGTCCGATGCTAGATGTTGATAAAATTTAATATAAGACTTCAACTTCAGCTATATATGTTCTGTGGTCTTCGGCGTTTTCGGGAAGCTCGCAATGCTGTCGGGCTCATACTCATAATTACTTTCAGTCCAGCTTGACAAACTTCCGTGTTATTCTGTAGTTTCGTTTTATTATCGCCAATGCATCTTGAGAGATTTTGCAATCGACGTTAAAATACATATTTAACATATTTATAACTACAGTTCAAACTACTTTAACCAAGTAGCCTGTCTACCATATCGATTCTATAAGTAAGTAAACCCTGAAATGTTGAAGAAATTCCATCAAGCTGGTTTGGAAGAGTTCTATGAAACGTATTTGGACAAGGATAAATATCCTCCGTTTTACAAACATGCTCTGTCGATGGTTTCGCTATGTGGAAACACTTATGCGTGTGAACAGCTTTTTAGTCGCATGAAGTATATCAAATCACAAGTGAGATCGAATTACTGATGTTCATTTGGAAAACTGTTTGCGTGAAGCGACAACATCAGTGGAGATCAATTTTGATGCACTTAGTTCCATAAAACAAAATCAGATGTCTCACTTTTAAATATTTTTAAATTGTCTAATAAATATGTTTGATTCTTGGTTATGTTTTATTTTCTTCAAAAAAAATGAATATACTTATTTTTTGTGTTTTTTTTTTTACATTAAACCAGGCAAGTGTTTGACCACGATCTCACCTACTGGGAAGCGACGATGTGGTTGAAGCTGTAGCACGCTTGCTTGTTTAGTTTAATTTAAAAAAAAAATTAGGTGTGTGGCCCGCAGGAAATATTATTTCTGAAATTTGGCCCGCCTTCTGAAAAGGTTGGCTACCCCTGCTCTACTGTATTTAACAAAACACTTATACATACTTTTATATTTTGAAAAATATTCTGTATTTAATAATACAGTAGAGCGTCGTTTATCCGAAAGTCGGTTATCCGAAAGAATTTCTGTTGGCAAATTTTAATTTTCGCTAGTGCTGTGGCGCTGCAATCTTTGGCTATGTACTGGGCTACTCAAATATTTTACGTTTTTGATACTAAATTAACTTATGAAGTATAATTTTTTATTGTTTTTATATTTTTCAATATATTTACAGTAGAACCTCCATTATCCGGACCTCCATTATCCGGATTTTCGATTATCCGGATTGTTCAAAATAAACAAAAATTTTACAAATTTGCTGATTTGCACTTGGCAAATTACGACACTGTTTATGTACGTGATGAAATGCATAACTTTTTTTGTTTCAACAACGTCTCACCCAGCACAGTGGTCGTAAACTCTTATAAATATATTTTACGTAGTAATAAAAATACAACTTGACATACGTATTTATAAATAATTTATATTAAAATTTCATTTCTATGACCAAGGGCGGCGTATGGCATGGGCGATGTGGGCCACCGCCTATGTCTTGCGGTCCGAAGGGCCTCGCGCCTCGAAGGTTTATGCATTACTTAAAAGCCGTGAACGCGACGAAAAAATTTTATTCGTCATAAAACGATAAATAGTTTGTCAAATTTTATTCATAAAACTGCAGTTTCAACTGCTTTTTATTTTATAAAATCCGTCTTCTTGCGCCACCAGAGAGCCTTTTAAACAATAGGTAGTCTGTTAGCGTTGGTCAGTAGTAGTCCAAATTCAATACGAACGTTTGTTTCTTGAAAATTTGATCACGATTTAAATACAGTATTTACTTTTAATATTACCGATATGTCATCGAAAAGAAAACGTGTTGTATTATTATTAAAAGACAAATTAAAGTATTTGTTTCGATTATCCGGATTTTTCCTTATCCGGACTACCTTCATCCCCAATTAGTCCGGATAATCGAGGTTCTACTGTAT